GAGAAGCGGCTAACTGACGCACAACCTGTCATTAAAAGGGACTGACAGAGGAACAAATGCAGGTGCTAAGACACGATGTTAAATTTAACAAAACTGGTGCCAAACGTTCGAATATTATTACAGCTTGTAGAGGCCATCCTTTAATTAAACAGGAAATATTGTCACCCACTGTGCCTCGTTAGCAGCCAAGAGCACTCTACCAACTGAGAGGAAGAGGACTCAAACGCTGGGACAATACGTTTATTCGCCGGACGTTTTAACATCCGTCGCGGATTCATCATCAGAGACATAAGCAGAAAACGGTAGCAGAAACGGGTAATACTGTTTTCTGCTAATTTCTCTGAGGATGAATCCGCGACGGATGCCGAAACGTCGGGTGAATAAACGTATTGTACTAGCGATAGAGTCGTATTCTTCTCAATTACTTCCCGGGACTTGCATGTTCGCTTGTATTGGCAATGATACACACTCTCCGACCCATCGTATCACTCGAAGGCGCTCCAACTTATCTAGTCACACATTCAGGTTTTAGAAGGCCGAAACCCCTCTCGCAAGAAATGACAACCGCGTGAGCTGCGAACGGCTGGTGTCATAGTTCTCCGGCTAGCATTTGAGCAAAAAGCGCAATGACCTCTCGACACAATTTTCTGTGCTGCGATTTCGCTTGGCCACGCGGGGAAGGCACGCGTGACCGGCAGTCCTGTTGACAGCGCGCCAAATGACCGAGTAATTATCATGGCAATTACTGCGTCAAAAAAGGCCTTCAGCGACGGACGCGAGTCCTGCTTATTATTGCAAACATGTAGTGGCCTGGAAACTGTGTCCTATTGTGCTCCTTGCGCTTTATTAGTCCATTCTGTGAATGTCACTGATGATGGGTTCCAGTGATAATCGGGAACGCCAAGCAAATAAACTTGATGTTCCAGCAATCGTATCTTCTGCGACTGAAAAAGGTTTCTCTAACTCGTCTGCCCGTTTGTATCGGAAAACATGTTATTGGTCGACACGACTCTTCGCAACCTTCCCCCCATGTAACCACACTCTCTTGCGTGTTAAGAATGGACTTAAATCGACTTTTCTGACCACTAAAATGTTTCAATCGACCGCGTACTGGTCTGCGTGTAAATTATCGAACGCAAACGCAGCCTCACCAACTAGTCTTCTGAACCTCCCGTGGACGTTTTCGCAACTTAAAAACGCTACTAAACGTATTTTAGTACAATGATGTATTTGTATGTGTTGGGGAAAAACACAGGACTGGATCCCCTTTGGTGGGGCTTTTGGTGAAATAGTCATCGATTACGATCTACTGCCCTATTTTTCGTTCGCTGTTATGGAGAAGAGTCAGAGTGATTAGATAGCAGCTGGC